CACCAATTCATGTCTTCATACATGTACTTTGGATAGCAGTGAACCATCCCATGCCCCCTTCCTTCCCCTCCAATCCCTCTACCCTATCTAGAGTTCATCTATTTCTCTCATGCTCCTGCTCCCTATCCCATTATGAATCAGCCTCCTTATTATCAAAGAAAACATTTGGCATTTGGTTTTTGGGGATTGGCTAACTTCACTTAGCATTATCTTCTCGAATTCCATCCAGTTATCTGCAAATGCCATGATTTTATTCTATTTTATTGCTGAGTAATATTCCATTGTGTATATATGTGACATTTTTATCCATTCATCTATTGAAGGGCATTTAGGTTGGTTCCACAGTTTAGCTATTATGAATTGTGCTGTTATAAACATTGATGTGGCTGTGTCCCTGTAGTGTGCTGTTTTTAAGTCCTTTGGGTATAGACTGAGGAGAGGGACAGCTGGATCAAATGGTGGTTCCATTCCCAATTTTCCAAGAAATCTCATAATACTTTCCATATTGGCTGCACCAATTTGCAGTCCCACCAGCAGTGTATGAGAGTACCTTTTCCCCCACATCCTCGCCAACACTTATTGTTGGTTGTATACCTAATAGCTGCCATTCTGACTGGAGTGAGATGAAATCTTAGAGTGGTTTTGATTTGCATTTCTCTAATTGCTAGTGAACATTTTTTCATGTATTTGTTGATTGATTCTTCTGAGAAGTATCTGTTCAGTTCCTTGGCCCATTTATTGATTTGGTTATTTGTTTTTTGGGTGTTTAGCTTTTTGAGTTTAATGTGACATTTCTTTGAGCAGTCCTTTATTGACACAGGCTTTAATTGATGGACATCTGTAGTTTGTAATACCATAAGAAATAGGAACAATTGATAATAGCTTAAATGTCAACTATTAGGTAATTAATTCATCGAGTATTACTGGTAACTGAAAACCATTTCTTTATTAAACCTTAGGCTAAAAAAAATATGACAAAGGTGTGTTTCAACTTTTTTTCTCCTTAGTTTAGTTGATATTATTGACTAAATTTTTATTAGCCAGCATTTCAAAGATGTTTTTGAGAGAAACAAGTCAAAATAGAATTGAAATTTGCAGTAAAATATTTTCTTAAGGCCATTGCTTTCTGTGTGGAGAATTAATATATTTTATTAAATATGTGATGAATGCAAAGCAATGATTTTAATGAAATGCTTTTTAAAAAGAATTATCACAGTGTCTTTAAGAGTCTATGCATATGCTATCTACAACAACAGTAAACAGTAAACAAAATCCTTATTAAGTTGAAGTTTATAGTTTATAGGATGTCTTTTTTCTTGTATTATATACTATGCAGAAGGTAGTATATTGTTTTTCACCCTTATATAATCAGGGTAACTATCCAAAATGCAAGCCAACCAATTTTAAGCTCAGTATCATTTCACATATGTTACTAGTCTTTGCTTTTTCTTTGATGTGCCAGATGAAATGATCAGTAATAAGAAGAGAAAAAATCCACTCTTATTCCATAAGTTCCTCTTTCTTGCTGACTTTTCCACTGAAAACCATGTTTCCTATTTGTATTTATCTTCATTTTAGTCTTTTATGGAAATCATCTGATTTGTGCTTGTTCCCTCAAACATATGGTTTTTATTTCTAGCACAAAAGTCTTTTGAGAAATCTAATTTGACAAGTCGTATGCTATCAGAATCCAAGTGTTATAGAGCAGTTTCATTTGCCTCTTTAAAATTAGAATTCAGCTTGAATTTACTGTTCTTAATCTGCTATAAAGCACTATAATTATTAATGTAACACTGAATTTCCTTCCTACTGACAATGATGCAAGAGTTTCTTTTTCTTTTTTGGTCCTGGAAGGTATCATGTTGTTACCCATTAAATATATGAGAATTGAGGTGAGAAATTCACTATATTGCTATAAAAATCTGTGTGAACACATCTTTTTCCTTTCATTACCCACCCCTTCTCCATTGCTAGAATATTAACAGTGAATTTAAGTAAGTTAATTAAGCTCTATTCTTCATTAGTTCAAAACTCTAAAAATTAATATGTTAACAAAAGGCAGTATACAGGATGTCCAACAGTAAATTTATAAATATTAATGTACAGAAAATGGATGTTTGACTGTATATCATAACATTGTCCTAGAGATATTTAATCCATAACAAAAGTTGATAAATACCAATAAATTGTCACAACATATTTTCACTTTCCTTAACATTTCCTAGGGCTTTATTTTAGATATATTTTAATTTGATTTTTTAGGGACGATAAAAGAATAATTCTTTGGAATGGATTTTTGGTAAAGCATATGAAGCAGTATATCATGGGGACAGGTGCTAAGTACCCTGAGGGCTGGTGTCATGAGGATAGCAGCTTGGAAGAAGGTTCAGGAATAGCAGTAGGCCAGATCCCAAGAGAATAAACAAAAGAAACCAATCACCATTTGTTCAAGTTAGAGGAAAAATTCTTTCAAGCTAGGTATAAACAAAGCAGGTAATCTGGAAATTGTAAATGTCAATAATTATATTGTCAACATACCAAAGTAGGTCCCGATAATTAAGGACTTTGACGTGAAAAATACCCACTAGCCAGGTGTGGTGGGACATATATGTAATCCCAGTGCTCAGGACAGTGAGGCAGGAGGATCACCTGTTCAGAGCCAGCCTCAGCAATTTAGTGAGGCCCTAAGCAACTTAGTGAGACCGTGTCTCAAAATTTAAAACAGTAGAATGAAAAGGGCTGGAGATGTGGCTCAGTGGTTAAGTTCCCCTGGATTCAATCCCTGGTTAAAAAAAAAAAAAAATAGTTACCCACTACATTAGTAAGTCTAAAATTCAATTCAACTGGAGGACAGAATAGACATTAAACCATCTACTCTCAGTTCCATGGCTGATCAAACCCAAGTATACCTTCTGAACATTGCTGTGCTTTCTAATAGAGGTGAATTAGGACCCTCCTTTCCTCTAAGAGAGTCAACCTTAATATAACCCAGCATTTACTAGAGTGGGTTCCAGATTTTATGTTTTTTTTTTAAAAAAAAATGTTTCATCACCCAATAAATTTGTATTCTTCACTATAAATCAAAATGTAAGGTTTCATTTTTTTACTTTTTATCATATTTTATTTTATTTGTTCAGCAAATATTTATTTAATTCCTTTCATAAGCCAGACATCTAGATACTGGGGACAGAAGTGGGATAATATAGATGTTCTATATTTTAGATTTTCTAGCCAGTGTAGAAAAATAAATCTTGAAATAAATAATTGCAATATAGTATATTAAGGATTGAGATAGGAGAGATCAAGGGTCAAAGGGAATACACAACAAGAGCACATACTCTGGTCTTCAAAGAGTCAGGGAAGAGACTTTGAAGAAGTATTGTTAATACTAAAAGCCTAAAGATCAAGTAGAAGTTGGGCCAGGAAATTTCAGTCACTTCAAGAGCCATAACAATAACAACCAATGACTAAAGCTGGCATGTTATTGTACTCCTGCTGCCTTCCACATACTATGCCACAGACTTTCCAAGCATTCCTTCAGCAATTTTCCTGGGCAGATCTTATTACTTACCCAAGATCATATTACTAACAAGTAGCCAGAAGGAAAATTTACTGATTATTCTGACTCTAGAGTCCTCTTTCTGCTACCCCAACTGCCTCTCAAAGCAATTAACTAATTTCAATTGAATTTGTTTTGCTTTAAAAAAAAATTGAGTGCTATGTTAAATTTGCTTTGGTTTTGATTGATATGTGATATGACTTTAAAAAAAATAGATACACATTTTACAATTTTCACAGATGGTAGTAAAATTTGGCATTTGGGTGTGAGTTTCACATGCATATTATAGCACCAAGTTTTGAAGTTCACATTCCAAGTGATGTCTTACACATACAATTTCAACTTCACATTTTATTTTAACTAAATGGTAGGGTCATTTGAAAAGACAACTTTGAACCATTCCAAAGAAAATCATTACTCACATTTTAATAGTAGTTCTAATTCTCTGAGACTTAATCCAGCTGGCTGTAGTATTTTATTTTAAAAAAATACAGTATATATAAAAGGGGATGATATTAAATTGATCCCCTCAAGTCTTTGAACCTGCCTAATACCTACAGCTTCTGTGCATGTTTAACAAAAATATCCATAAGTAATACAGACTTTATATCTCATCAGGAAAGAGGCTTACAACACCAATATAACTCACTATCAATACTTTTGAAGATTATCAATTAAAGGAGCATTTGATAAATAGGAAAAAGTGGTTTAAGAAAATAAATTGGATTACTGTAAACCCAGCAAAATGTTTAAAATCCAATGAAGTAATTCTTCAGTGTTCTTGGAAGTGGTGTGAGTCATGCTTTAGTACCTAGTGATGGCTGATTGGGCTGTATCATATAATTTGTAGACTTGCTTTATTTATTTGACCATGTCAACATGCCAATTATTATCAAACTTGCCCATCCTATTATTATAATTTTTTTTTCTGTGCTGGGAATGAACCCAAGTGTAGCTACATTTAAATTTTATTTTTAAATTTTGAGACAGGGTCTTGTGAAATTGCCCAGGCTGGCCTCCATCTTGTGATCCTCCTGCCTTGGCCTCTGGATTGCTGGGATTATAGCATGCGCTACTGCACCTGGCTGAGATTACTTCTAAGTAACATAAATATTATATATAATATAAAACATTTTTTGAAATTTCTCTATTTCATCCTCATGAGGTAATTCTGAGATATGAAATGATCATAAAGGAGAAAAGAAAAAGAAGAACCTGATTAATCTATAAACATAGATTAATTCCCAAATCCTTGTAATTTATATTAATTTAACAACATACTGTTGCTGGATGAAATTTCACTTGTTATTTTTATTTTTATTCAGAAAAGCAGGATGGTGAAACAAAATTTTAAAAGAACTTCTTTTGTGTGGTATTTTATTTGTAATCAAACATGGGTTTATTTCCTTATTAACTATAAAACATGTTGGTTTCACCTTAGGGACACCACAGTACAAACGCTTACTCTTCAGCCTTCAGTTAAAGATGGACTGATTGTGTATGAAGACTCACCTTTGGTTAGTAATCCAATTATATGAATATTTTAAATATTTTAAATGATAGTAGAGAAATCTCCCATAGATTCTAATGTTTTTTAGACTAACTAGAATGCACTTGTTCAGGTGTTATTTTAGGGACAGATATTTAAATGTAAATTATTGGGAAATATCATTTCTAAAATTATGTTCTCTTTTCAGAGAGAAGGGGTGGGGAGAGAGAGAGACATAAATTTAGGGAATGACAAAAGTCCTTTACTGATTTCTCTTCTAAATTTTTTTTTAAGGTTGCTATTGTTTCCAAACGTGTATAGTTTGAAATTAGGTAATATTTCTTTTTTTTTAAATTTTTTATTGTTGGTTGTTCAAAACATTACAAATTTCTTGATATATCATATTTCACACTTTGATTCAAGTGGGTTATGAACTCCCATTTTTACCCCATATACAGATTGCAGAATTACATCAGTTACACATCCATTGATTTACATATTGCCATACTAGTGTCTGTTGTGTTCTGCTGCCTTTCCTATCTGAAATTAGGTAATATTTCTAGAAAAGTTTTTTTTTTTTCTTTTGGTGGTTTATTCTAATAAAGTGGTTTTATCTAATCAAATATTAGTGTTTTAGGAAGCTGGGGGGATCCAGTCCTCAGCTTCCCATTTGAGACCCAGGGAAATCCCACCCTGCCAGGCATGTGACCCTGTGCAGCAAACTCCTGCACAACTGCAGCACCAATAAGCCATCATGGGACCTCTATGGTCCAGAACCAGAGATGTGAGTCTAGGATCTCCTGCCTGAAGTCATTTGGGTTGGGCCCAACTTTCCTTTTATCTGTGCAGAGATGGGGTTGAGGATAAAAGCTCCATGTTTTCTTTTTCTACCCTAAAATTTACTTATAACTCTTAATGTGTTTTTTTTTTAATTTCTCATCAATTCTTTATAAAATATTTGTGGTAAAAGAAACCACCTATTTAATGATGTGTTATTTCCTTAAAATCATTCATCACAATTGTGCAGTCAGAAAAACTTATAGTTCATAATGTTATATTTCTTGCTATTTAAAAACAGTCTTTACATTTAAATTCATTGAGTATTTTCTCCTACTCCCCCTGGGGGAAAGAGTTTTAAGAGTTTTTAGCTTTTATCTTTATTTAATGATGTCACCATTCACACAGTCACTCAAGTCCTAGGACTCTTATTTTTCTTTTCCCCTCTTACTATTCAAATGGTTGCCCAACCTATAGTTTCTACCTCTGCTAAACTCCTCAGATTAGTCAAACACTTTTTATTTCTGTTTTCTAATGCTGATGCCCAATCAGGTTCCCAAAAAAACTCTTTTTATACAAATTGTTACAGTAATCCCCTTTTAGTTTATTCTGCATGTGGCTGCCAGATTAAATATCCTAAAGTGTAGCTCCACAGTTTTTTTCCAACATGTGTGAACTCACAAATATTAAATTATATCCCATTATTTAATGAGGGAAAGAATGTATTTATTGGTCTGGCAAACAAATTCCTTAGTAGTAGAAACCCAATCTATTCTTCTAGTGCCTTTTTTCTCTTTTCTTAGATTTGACTTCTATTTCATTTAACATAAACTACTCATATTCAATCTTCAATAAATATGCTCCAGGAGTTTGACCATTGGTTTGCTTTTTTGTTTTGAATACCACATCTCCAGCACCATGCATTCTGATCTATTACAATATTAAAAATATTACACTCTTTTTAAAAGCTAGAATAAATGCAATATTCTGATACAATTGCTTATGGTGTCTCAACTCCTCTTAAATTCCATGGCACTTTGATTTCTCTATTTATTATACTTGTTGTTCATCTCCCCTATTCTAGGTATGAAATATTATTTGGTATCACTATCATAGGATAAATGAAAGGTAAATGAAAGGATTCCTGTGAAGTCAGCAAAATAGTGACTATGTGAAGATTCTGGTGGAGATACATAAATTTTGTTTTTAGCTGTGCTGCAGATTTTTGAGTGTGTATGTTAGTGTGTAGCCATAACTTAATACTAGCTATTATAAATCCAAAGCACTAAGTAATGAAGCTTTAATAATGCTTACTTTTATTTATTTGTGTTTGTTTATGATAAGTTTTCTGTCTTCGAAGGTTAAAGCAATAAAGATGGGTCATGTTCTGGTTATAGATGAAGCAGACAAAGCCCCAACAAATGTCACCTGTATTTTGAAAACTCTAGTAGAAAATGGAGAAATGATTCTAGCAGATGGAAGACGCATTGTAGCAAGTGAGTATTAAAACTGCAATGTTTACTGTCATATCTGTAATTTTTGTATCTCTGGTATGGACTCAAGCAGTAGGCATAAGTTCAATATAAATTAAATTGTCCATGTTGATAATTATTTATAAAAAGTAACATTTAAGTCTAGCTTTATAAGTTTTACTTTTTTGTGGGAGAAGGTGCTGGGGATTGAACCCAAGGCCTATTGCATGCTAAGCACATATTCTACCACTGAGCTTATTCTGAGTCCCCAGTTTTATTTTTCATAGCCAGGAAGGCATTTTTGAAAATTTCTGTGGTAATATTAGGACAAATCAGTGTCATATTTTTCTACCCTGAGAATACTAGTATATACTTTATCAATTCATTTTTCCATTATTTGTGTGATTTATTTTCTTTATTATCTGGAATTTTAAGACTTATTTTATTATTAGCTCAATATAATTAGAAAATTTGCTAGACTTATACATGTACATATACACACACATAAAATACTTATTATGTATTTGTGTGTGTGTATTTATATGCACATATATATATATACACATCTATACACACACACACACACACACATATACACGCATTAGGTACACACTCTTCTTTAGCAGGAAGTAGTTCTCCTCTATTTTGGATTGTCTTCTGCTTGTTCCTACTCATATACCCTTTTTGTTATTGTTAGGAAAAATGAAGAAGGATAAATCGTATCAGTTTATTTAACCTACAAAGAATATTAAGTTTGTTTAACACAATGTGAGAATATTTTCTAGCTTTTAATTTTAAATTTTTGCCTCCCGAAAAGACTAGCCATTGAAAATACATATCCAATAGCCTAGTAACCAAACAAATTAGGATAACTAAAATCTGCAGTATTTGAAGATAGTGTAAAGAAGACCCCATTCAAAAGGTACAAGGTGACCATCACAGAAGTGTTCCTCCTGGACATTACCATTGTAAGGTTGCCATATTGAACCTCAGTTCAGACTAATAACAGCATTCTATTATTTTAATTTTACACTGAGTTTCATGAAAAAAATAAGAATTTGGTTAGTCTGAATATTCTCTCTTAACATCTTTTCAGACTCTGAGGATTGGAATTCTGCCAGCTCTTTTTAGAGGTATCTCAAGGACTCGAAAATAGGAAGAAAGATTTTCTAAAACAAAATCATAGTTAAAGAGTGATTATTTCCTGGCAACCCTCTACATTTTCTGATATGTTTTTGAAGGATAACCGACAAGTAGATGGGGAAAATAATTTCCAAACTCAAGCATGATTGTTCGACTAGAATTTGTTTATTGTTGTTTTGTTATATTTTGTTTGTTTTGCTTTTTTGGTGCTGGGCACTAGACTCAGAGCTTTATGTTAAGCATGGGTTTTTTCACTGAGGTACACCGCCAGCCATGTAGATGATATTTTAAATAAAGGCACCTGAAACTCTTTTAATGGAACTTCATAAACCATCAATTCCAGTCCTGTCTTTTTTCATTTTCCTTGCTTTTAAAAAACATTCTCCATTTTTATTATCATATTTCTTTTATTGAATAATTAAACTTTGCCTATGGCTCCATACTCCTCTGGTTTTCTTTACTAAAATTAATCGGGGTAAATGTTAAAAAACTATAGGTTGTATTAGCACGTGCATATATGACACATTGAAAGATTATTGTTTGGTATCATAAATTATTGTAACTATAGGTTCTTACAGACTCATCTCAAAACTCCAGGTGTGTCATAACCATCATGTTTTAAAGGTGGACAGCCTAAGGCTAGGGTTTACGTAAACCTAGATGGTAAATGGTTCTTCTTAAAGTAACCATAATAAAGCTCTTACTAGCAGCTCAGACATTATCTGGAATGTGCACCAACCAGGAGATTGTAATATTTAGTTCCTTTAATGCCATAAACACGTGCATAATACAATTCCCTAATTGGAAACAAGTCAGCTGGGTTTTTAATTTTTTTTTTAGTTGTAAATGGATGCAGTACCTTTATTTTAATTATTTATCTTTATGTGGTGCTGAGGGTCAGTTGAACCCAGTGCCTCACACATGCAAAACGGGAGCTCTTTCACTGAGCCACAACTCCAGCCCCACAAGTCAGCTTTTTACTAATGAATTGGCAGTTTTTGAGACCTCTATTTTATGTAGTTATGTTGTAGGGTGTGTGACCTAAACAGGAATGATATCTTAAGCTGCATACTCTAAGGCTTTGTGCAAAGGGATGCAGCTGATAAAAAGTAAAGATTGTGTGGATTTTAGCCTTGGGTATTCCTTGTAGCTCATTATAAATTTTTATTTTTTTAATTTGTTTCAAGAATAATGATATCTCAAGCCAGTATTGTAAGACAGTGTATGGATAGATTTGCTTTTTGATATATGTTGCACATTTACATAAATATGCAAGTTCTTGTAGAGTTTAGTATATTTATCAATATTCTGTTCTTGAGCAAACTTTTTCAAGCAAGTTTTTCTGCAATTCAGTTGTCACTATGACTACTTGTGTTAAAGTCATTAACTTGACATTCTTAAAAATTATTAAATATCAATAAAGAATAAATGGAAATTTTGTTTTTCAGATTCTGCCAATGTGGATGGACGAGAAAATGTTATAGTGATTCATCCTGATTTTAGGATGATTGTTCTAGCCAACAGACCTGGATTTCCTTTCTTAGGCAATGATTTCTTTGGCACCTTAGGTAAAAACAGTAATGCTGATAATAACAATCACATTAACAATAATATTAACAATAACAATGTTAATGACAGTGCCAGAATGGCTGTCACTGTTACTCTATGCTGTACCACAATAACTGCCCTGTGTGTCTTATATTCAAAGAGATTATTCTTCTCTAGTCAATTAGCTAATGACTGATAGAGGTGGGCTTCATATCTAAGTCAATCTGATTCCAGAGCCTTTTTTTCTTAATTATGTTAAACTATATGTCATTCAGGTCTTTTTGGAATGAAATAAGAAATGTTTTTAGTGTCTGTTTTTGTTACATTTCCCTAACTATGAAAAGAGCTAAAACAACTCTGAGGAAACACATTCACACTGATCAGAGGCCCTGGCATAAACTTAATCATCATAACCTTGAGGAACTTTTCTTTTCTGTGGCAAATATATATATTTCTGGACTCTAATACTCAACATGAGGCAGGGTGATTCTCCTCATAGGATCTTTGGCCTAGTAATTCCACATTTAAGGAATTGACCTGATTTAAGTACAAGTATAGACAATACAGCATGTTTGTAATAGCAAGAAAAGAAACAAATCAAATACAATAAGTCATGAAAGTGGTACTCTATCTACTCTTTGAGGTTCTTTTCAGGGTAGAAGGGATATATATACACATGTATGTTTTACTTGTGTAGAATTTCTCCTAACACAGAAAACTAGCAAGAAGGGAGGGTTGTTTGTCTTGAAATTCAGAAATGGACATGTAATTTGTTTATTTTACTATTTTTGTATTTTTTAACCATATATAGATATTTCTGTAAAAGCCGTTAACCATTCATGCATTACTGATACTCTTACAATGTAGCAATGTGAAAACACTAAAGTAAACTTGTAATTGTTTCTAGTGTGAAAGGTTTGAGGTTTTTTTTATGTAGGTTCTTCATGGGTCACACACTTCATATTAATTTTAATGTCTATAAGAACATTAATTCCCTATTCTGTCTTTGTCTTTCATCCTCCTCTGAATCCTGAAATCTGCTATGGCTCAGATGAAATTCCAGCCCTCCCTGCAGTCAATTCTTCCACTGAAGTCCTTTCGAGGAGTGTGTGTGTGTGTGTGTGTGTGTGTTTGTGTATTTCTCTCATACTGGGTCTAGAGGAAGTAAAGAGTCTTTGCTTCTTATTGCTATTTATGGGTTATTCTCTTTGTTTCTTCCTTAAAAGTTCCTAGCTTTACATCTTGTGTCGTCAGATTATATTATTACAACCCCTTGTTGCTGTCGTCTACCTCCTTGTCCTTTCTCCATGATTTTTTGTTCTTTGTTCACTGTCACTCTGTCTAACTCTAACTGCTCTGGGAGTGTTTGCAGTATAATGCATGTGGCTTTTCCAACTCTCTGGTTTCAGGGCTTCTTGGATGTTTTTATTCAAGTGATTTTATTCCATATTATACCTCAGCCACTCACTTCCATGGACATATCCTAGTTTTAATTACTGAAACTCTTCTATATTCTCAATTTTATAATTCTATTTATAAATTTTCCTTCGGTTTTTATTTCATCACTGCAAAACCTCCAGTATTTCCTGTTACTACTTCTACGTAAGTACCCCAAATCCAGCAACCCTTCATACCAATTAGAAAACATACACACATGGAGCTGAATATGGTTAGAAAAAGTAACCTCACCTTTCTTGACTAGGGACCTCAAGTGTCCCTTATTGCAATCACACTGTGCCTTCCTAGTTCTTTTACTTTTTCATGTTCTCTTCGGTAAGTAATTCAGATCTTCTCTCTCCTCACAGCTCTAACTCTGCTGGGTGAATTTTCTTGTTTGCTTTAAAATTGTACAATACTTCTGCAATCACTTGTGAGAAATTAAAACATAGAAGGAGAAGTCTTCTTCACTTTCCCACCAGTCCATACCACCAGTTACGTGTGGACGACCCATACCTAACCAGGATTCAGTTTCTTGACTCGCTTTCCATAGGCCTATTATTTTTTCCTAGCTTCCTACTGTACTGAGAAAAAAATAAAAACAATAGAAGTTCACATCCATAGACTTGTGTCCCCTGAACATTCCATCCATAGTGTTGTGGTTTCCACCATTTCCAGGTAAACCATTCACACTTTCATCAAGAGCCAGTCCCTCCAGATGAGTACACGATTCCACTTTCTTAAGGATAGAGCTTGAAAAATTCTGCCTTTCCTCTCCCATATCAGCAGTTTCCTTTTTTGTTCAATTGTTCCCATCAGCAATCAACTTTGTTTCCTTTTAAGATATCTTCAATCTTAAAAAAGACCCTCTAATCCTCTTTTTTTGCTAGCTGCTGTTGGATTCTTCTACTATCTTTTTTAGCTACACTCCTCACAACAGTTTTTCACACTCAGAGAATTATCTATACTTGATAGCTGCATTTCTCCTTCACCAGTATCTCTTAAGTTCATTCTTATAAGATTTTTGTTCCCATCTCTCCACAGAAACATTCTTGTCTAGGTTATCAGGGACTTTCCCACTGTTAAATTTGGTGATCAGTTTGCAGTGCTCATCTTTTTTAATCTGTTAGCAGTACTGAATAGAGTTGACACAGTTGGTCACCCTCTTTTCCTTAATGCACTTTCTTGAATTTGACTTCTAATTCTCCTCCAGCTGCTTTTTTGATTTCTTTCTACATTAATGACTATTCCTTCTCAGCCTCCTTGTTGCATGCTTGGTATAATGCTGCTAGTCCTCTTTTACCTAGCTATGCTCATTCCTTGGTAAAATCAGAACATGTTATGTTTTAAAACACCATTTATACTCTTGTTGTTGCCAAATTTTTATTTCCAGTTTAGACCTGTCTCCCACACTATACACTGATATCCAGCTGTCTATTCAATAGTTCCCATATCTTGGATCTAACATGTCCACAATGAATTTACTTTTCTTGATTTATAGTGTCTTTTTTCATCTCAACTAATAACTCCATTTTCTTTGGCCCAAAAATATTTCTTGACTTTTCTCTTTCCTCTTGATTTCTTACCATCTATCAGGAAATCTTATTGGCTCTATCCTCAAAGTATATTCAGAATTATGTTATATTCATTATATTACATTACAGCTGTATCATATTATAATTATATTACACTCATCACTTCTATCGGTCACCATTTTGATCTGAGCCACCACAGCCTCTCATCTGAATTATTAGAAATAGTTCTTTAGTGGATCTCCCTGTTTCCACTGTTATCTTTTGTCTTGAACTGTGAAGATTTTACCCTACCTGCCTTTAACCTAACAAATTAGCTTGCCACCATTTTATGGCAGAAGATACTGGACTCCTGGGTCAGAGGAAAAGGAAGGATTATTACTCACAGCAAAAGCAGTAGTCAGAGAATTGGCATTTGTACTAGTTCCTCAAGGCCTAGGTCCTACAAGATAGCACAAAGAGGATCAAATGATTCCTGCTTTTGCATGAGATGCTTTGCGGGGGTGGGGGGAAGCTTAATGTTAGGTAATCCAAATGTTTTATCATGGACAATACATATGCCTTATGTTGTTCCAGAGGGAAAGATATTTGCTTTACAAACATTCTTAAAAATATAGTCAATGGAGTCAGCGTCTTTGCTAATAAGATATGCTACAATGCTATAGATCCCAATACCCTTCTGTAGTCTCTTCTCAACACAGCAGTCCATTCTTTTGTTACAATTCCTCCCTGGATTTCCACTTTATTTTGACTATAAGTAGTCTTTATAACAGTTTATAATGTCCTGTGAGATATGTCTCCCATGTCTTGTCTTTCTGACCTCCTGCCTTATCCTGTTCTGAACTGCTCTCTCTGTCGCTCATTCTGTTCCAGCCATTCTGTTCTCCTTCCTCTTCTTTTTACATGCTAGATATTTTTGCTTTAGGGTCTTTTATTAGCTGTACTCACTGCATGGGATGCTCTTCCCCCAGGTATCTACATTTTCTTAGATGCTACCTTCTCAATGAGTTCTACCTGGTTGATTTTCACCACCATAACTACTTCTATTGTCCTATACTATGCCTTTCTTTTTCTTTGAAACATATACTTTCTAATAGTTATCATTGATCTCCCTTTGCTTGAATATAAACTTTACTAGTATAGGGAATTTTGATACATATGAAATACCTAAATACGTAAATACATATAAAGTACCTAGAGTTGTACTTGGCACATAGAAGATGTTTAATAATTATTTGATGAATGAATAAATATGGAGACAATTGTCTTTTTTAAATCAGTGTTAAATTTCATTTTCAGCAAAAACTATTTTACATTTTATATTTGAAAACTTTGTGATAAAAGTAGAAGTTATCATGGCTTTCATTTTAATTGAGTTACTTTTAAATACACACACACACATGCACATAGCCCTACCCCCACACACAATAACTTTATTCAGATGGTTTCTAAATCACAGTAAGATCTTACTGCTATCTGACTAGGTATCTTCTTTTTCTAAAATGAACCCCTTAAATGATTTAAGTTTATTTATTTTAATTTTCTTTATACCTGTTCTTTTAGATTATGGATCAGGGAATTTTATGACTCAGCATGAACAATTCATCCTTCTTTTGAGAATAAAGTGTATTTCTCTAATACATTCCTTCTTGTATAAGTAACAGATTAAATATTTTGCATTTAGAATTCCATTTCTTGGTTTTAATTTAGACAATATCTCTGCAGTTTTCTTTTCTAAAACTCTCCTCTAAGGTATATTCTAGCAATCTGCACACTATATAACTTGTTAGGGTAATAATGAGACTAATTTTCCATTCTTTAGAATACATTAAAAAAAGCATTCACATAAGACAAATATATGTAATTTCTGAAGATCTTCAACATTTGTTAAAATTAAAAAGGCAGTCTTGGAACCACGTGAAAAATATACTCCTATTAATGGAAAAGGAACAAATCGCTAGAATTGTATTTGTTTGCATGTATGCATTTATTTTAAAATACTAAATCAGATCTGGAAAAATAAATGCGCTGAACTGCTACCAATGAGTGCCTTTTAGAGAGGGAGTGACATTGGCAGAGATATTGAGGAGACTTTACCTTTGTATTTCAGTATCTCTCAGGAAGCATTTTATTCAAGTATTATGTAAATTTTAAAAAATATTTATTTGTTAGTTGTAGTTGGGCACAATACTTTTATTTATTTATTTTTATATGGTGCTGAGGATTGAACCCAGGGCCTCGCACATGCGAGGCACACACACAGTCGCTGAGCCACAATCCCAGCCCCTATTATGTAATTTTTAATGGGAAAAAACTCATGCCAAATAAACTACCATCACCCAGTTTTCTTCCACTTCAGTCATTTCTTTCTTCTCTCTACAACCCTATTGTTGGATGGGCTTTTTGTACTTTGATGAGCAACCAATGGCTCTTCAAACAGCTATTGCATTTTCTCCAGTAGCATTATAGTGGATTAGTCACATGATAAATGTGAATCTTCTTTCTCCCTTAGGTGACATTTTTAGCTGCCATGCAGTTGACAACCCCAAACCCCACTCAGAACTTGAGATGCTCAAACAGTATGGACCAAACGTGCCTGAGCCCATCCTTCAGAAGCTTGTGGCTGCCTTTGGGGAGCTGAGGAATTTGGCTGACCAGGGCATTATTAGCTATCCTTATTCCACCAGGGAAGTAGTAAACATCGTCAAACACTTACAGGTATGGCACGCACCTGGAAATAGAGTTTTAGAAGAAGCCACTAATCTCTTTTTATTCAGACTACATAATTTATAATAAGCCTTTCAATTTCTATAAATAATCCAATTACATAATACAGAGTGTCTGCAGTCTAAGTTGTGAATGTAGAAGACAAATGAACATTATCTGTTAGGCCTTTGAATTGGCTTTGGCAAAGTTCTATACCATGGTCATTACCAAGCAACTAGGAAATTTGTGGAGGAGGGTTCAGAGGAGGAAGGTGATGTAAGAGTGAGGCAGTGAGACAATGGAGAGAGATGTTAATTTGTTTGATTTACTCATTTCATAACATATATATATATATATATATATATATATATATATGTGTGTGTGTGTGTGTGTGTGTATACACACACACACACACATATATCTATAGAAACATTACATTCTATCCCATAAATATATAAAGTTATCTGTGAATTAAAAGAATATATTTGGGAAGAACAAAAAGAAAAATAGAAAACATTATTCTACCTATAAAATCATAAGTCCAATTCAGTCAGTTTAGATCCCAGAACCTAAAGAAAATCAAAACACAAACAGAGCCATTACAGAACCCAAAGGAACCACCAGTGTACATTTAGCTGTAGTGGTACTTGTTTTCTTTCCCTCTACTGTTCCCTATTTTTCTATTCACTGTACTTTTTATATTCTTCCCTTATTTTCTTGTTCCTTTATTTTTTTCATTTATTAATAGATTAATTTTTCTAAATACTTTTGTGTTCATATTAACACTGCCTTAACTAATATTTTAAAATTGGTCATCTGGTACTCCTTTAAGGGGGGGGGGGGGGGTTCCGAAAGCAGGTATAGTCACTGAACACCTGGTTCTGAGTTCTCCCTGATGTTTAAGAGTGGGAACAGTTACTCCTGAAATTCTAGTATTTATTTAAAAAGAAGCAAACATTAAAGGATAAAAATGTATGTTTTCCAACTATCTCTGTATCTAACAGGCTGGTAAATTTCTGCTAAAGTTCGTTTGTGCATTTTGTTCTATCAGTTTAATAAATCTTTATAATGTTGTATACTTTATCACATACATAATAAGGATTTTATTTTATTTTTTTAATACAGAAATTCCCCACTGAAGGTCTTTCCAGTGTGGTTCGGAATGTGTTTGACTTTGATTCCTACAACAAGGACATGAGGGAGATTTTGATTAACACTTTACACAAATATGGGATACCTATTGGAGCAAAACCTACCAATGTGCAGCTGGCAAAGGAGTAAGGCAAACTCACTGTTGATAAAATGTTCTTGAGCATTACTCTTCTGATTCTGAAATACTGATAATTTCTATTCTACTGAGTTGGTGTGGAAATCACTTTCCATGAATAAGCTTTACAAATATATGTTGCTATTTACTGGCTGGTTTTCAGTTGAATAGCATTATTTATAGACTTGTAAATTGAGAATTTCAATTATAAATATCCCATGAGTAGATGTAATACAATCAAATAAAGGGAAATATTTGTTTCTTTAACAGTGTCTGTTCTTTTGTTGAATTACAATGGGTCTCATTATTTCATAATCCAGTGCAAAATTGTACAAATATGAAAACTACATTCTAATATACATTTTGTTATGATGTTCTTATTTATATCACCATATAGGTTATGGTAGTTTTCTGAATTTATAATCACATTAACTCAGTTATTTATTTATTTTTTTTAAATTTCAGCTTCATAGATGAAAGAGATAGGCAGTGAGAACAAGCAAGTTCATTTCGTATGGGCCAGTTGCCTTCCTTTTATTTAGTAATCACAGGCTATGCTTAACCTTAGTTAAGATTCTTGCAAATATGTTGTTTACCAGAATGATGGTTGGTAGAGTTTGTTAGAAGTAACTCAGCCAGTGCAGGTTCACTGGAAAATAATTTTATCTTATTTTTTAAAAATATTCTTTAGTTGTTGATGGACCTTTATTTTATTTATTTATTTGTATGTGGTGCTGAGAATCAAACCCAGTGCCTCACACATGCCAGGCAAGCACTTTACCACTGAACCACAATCCCAGCCCTCTGGAAAATAATTTTAAATATGCATAGTTTATGGATAATGCATCTAATGCCAACTTTGTCATAAATATGATCATTTTTCATAAATTCATAAGATACAATAATTAATCAAAGTAAAATAATATTTAACAGTCTCATATAGAGGCAATATAAAGTTTGTTAAATACAAATTAGTGATTAGTTCAGTAATATATATGTTTTTCTAAGTGTATACATCATCCTTATTTATTTGTTCTTCGAAGTCATTGTAAAAACTTGTCATAATATACATATACACCATTAAAATAAACTTTTAAAGTATCAGAAATTTCTTAAAGAGAAACAAATATTTCCCTTTTGTGGTAAAAGTTACAACATAGAATTATGTTAAAAATTATACGTGTACTAGTTTGTATTATTGAGTGATTTTTTTTTTTCAAGAATGATTGGGTATCAGTTACTTAGCATAAACTTTTCTGTACAATTCTATTTTACCTATTGATTAGCAGTCAGTATGCGCATTTTGAAACTAGGTGAGTAATTGAATAGGCATAAGTTATCTCCTATATTAGTAAGTCCAATATGCAAACTTCCACTACTACCCATGTTTATTACTTCCTTTTTATAAATTACATTTTCATTTGGAAATGGGGCAGTTTTATTAATATTAATAAATTTATATAATTAGAGTTATTTTCATGGAAAATAGGCTTATGATTAAAAGTTATTGGTAATATTTATTTAAATGTTAAAATAGTAGATCAATCATAAGAAAATTGTTGGCAATTTCAGTGTCTACAGATGACAGATTGATGGTTTAACTTATGATCATCCTAAGTTCTAAACTGAAAACTTCTTGTGATGGCATATTAATATTTGCCTTTGCAAGTTAATTACAATTCTAGTACTTACACATGAGTGGAAGCAAAAGTATACTGAGCCTGGAAGCAATATGGTCATACTCATCCTTAAGATGGGGTTGGAAACAACTATTTGTCCACCTACTGCATGTAGCTAAAAATAAACTTATAGCAGATGTGGAGGATGAGTGCATTTTTCCTTTGGAGTGGAGATAATGGTTGACTATAATTTGCATAATCATTCAAAGCCTTGTTTTCCTCATCTGTAAACTACAGTGACTTCAGCAGTTCAAAAGTAGTGATGTTTTATTGCCCATTAGTGAATTCATAGGTTTCATAGCACTATTTCTATTAAATTGTCAGCCTTGTACCTAAAGAAGGTAGCATGATAAAGTGAACAGCTTGGGAATCTAGCAGTCAACCTGCATACCTGGGCCAGAAATAGAGAAACAGTTAAAAAAGACAGAGTCCTGCCCTCAGAGAGCTCGAAGTTCCATCTTGGTCATTTGAATTTAGAGAAGTTACATCCTGGTAAAATGAGAGCTTTATATTATAGACCATATAATTTACTATCTAGATTAGGATATTTTTGAGAATGGAGGGAGAGAGCTATTGATGATAACTCTGAAAAGAGATGTGATGTAAGACTCTGTTCTAGTCCAGCCTGAATAAGTGTGTGGTTGTCCTCATTATAGAGCATTAGCAAGGTTCCTTCCTATTCTAACATTTTGCATTTTTTATGTAATCTTTTAAAAAAAATTTTTGTAGTTGTAGGTGGAAAGAATGCTTTTATTTTATTGTTTATTTTTATGTGGTGCTGAGGATGGAACCCAGTGCCTCACTCATGCTGGGTAAGTGCTCTGCCAGTGAGCTACAGTCCCAGCCCTTTAATGTATTTTTAATGTCTCTCAATTCTGCAAAAACAAGCCAAAAAATAAAGAAATAGTACAGGTTAGATGTCTCTAATCCAAAAATCCAAAATACTTCAAAATCTGAAACTTTTTGAGTGCCAAAATGATGCCACAAATGGAAAATTCCACAGGTATATTATAAGGTATACCTGAAACATACATGAATAATATTTAGATTTGGGTTCCTTCCCCAAGATATCTCATTATGTAATTGCAAATATTCCAAAATCTAAGAAAAAAATTCAAAACCCCAAACAGTTTTGGTCCCAAGCATCCAGATAGAGGATCATCAGCCTTTACTAATACTTAACCTTTCTCCCCCTTGGGTACCACACTGTAGACAGTAATCACATAGACTTCTGAAGATTTAAAGTTGTCCCCATGCCGTCTAATATTCGACTTTGACTTTTCTCCACCTTTTGCTAAATGTTTTGTTCAACTAGACCTTTAGACTAAACTAGTTCTCCAAGGCTGGTTCTGCCTAGCTCTGCAGGTTGTTTGTTGTTTGGAGAGGATCCTCTTTAGATTTCATCTCCTAGGGAAGAAGGGTAAAATGACTCAACTACTATTACTATCCTTTTGCCCTGATAGACAAATTTTTATTGCAACCTGTTAATTTTATTTTCCTTTAATTTAACCATAGTCCTTATTGAATGGGAACAAAAATTACTTTGAGTCTAGACCAAGATGGGCATAGTTACGCTTAAGATGAGAACAGAAAGATAATTTCGCCTCCTACTACATATAGCTAAAAAGAGACATAAAGCAAATGTTGTAGCAGAAGGAAAATTTTTACACAAGAGAGAGATGACACTAAACCATTATTTGTATAGTCATACAGCTCCTTCTTCAGTTGAAATCAGAATATACTCTGACTGTTTAGAGCAGTAATATCATTTTAGTGCTCTTTGATGAAATTTCCAAAAGAGAGAGATTGTTACTTGCCTTTGTTCTCCTAAGTAGTATAGTGTTGTTACCTTTCTCTAGGTTTTTGCACACTTTTTAAAGGCCAATGTGATGAGACAAACTTAACTTGTCTTCTTTAAAATAAACTTTTCCCAAACCTGGCATTTTTAGACCAAGCTTTATGTGATGGTTCTTTTTACTTTGCTTTAGCCCACCATAATTAGCTCTTCTTCCTGATTTACAAATGTGTTTTCAGTTCTTGGTAGTAGAATCAGCATTGGCTGATTACCTAGCCTTCCACATAGAGTTTACCCATTTCCACTAGTATCTCCTGAGGTTGATTGTTTTGTTGATTGGTTTGGTTTTGGTCCCTTTGTAAGTTTCCAGTACACAAGAAAGCATGTCAAGGAGATGATAAACATAACCAAATAAGGAGGTACACTGTTAGAAATTATTTTTAAATGTAAATATTATGCTTTACATGGGATTTGAATTTAAGTCTCTGTTTTTTAGTCTATAGAGCAGCAACTCATCAAGACAATCTGTGTTGTGTGTTGTGCGTACACACATCCACAAATCTGATTTTTTTTTCAGTACAATAAGCAGAGATAGGAGGGTTTGGGTTAAAATATGAATTCTTGAGTTTTAAACTTCATTGTTGGATATACACCCACACATAAACATATATATGTTTACATACATGTAAACATTCAACCAAAAGCATATAGATTATCTACTCCAGGAGAATATAGATAACTATAGATAAACATATAAATTTCTAAGTAGAGTTTGCTTGTTTTGGCCTTACATGAGCTTTTATTTCTGAAGCTTCTTTTATTTGAGAGTAAACATACTGCTAGCATGTTAGCACTTCCAAATTAAAAAGTGTGTTTCACAGCAATTTGCAAACTGTCATTGCGGGAAAACATTTGTTTTAAAGGAAGAAAAATCCTGTTTTCTTTTTCTAAACATCCATTTTAAGTGACTTATCTATTTTATCTTAAATTTGTGTACCATTTTCTCCATAACCATTCTTAAAATGAGAATTGTCATCTTTTATGTCTACAATGGAATGTGGATATTCTACTTCTAAATAAAATTGTGTAACATTTATAATGTTATAATAATGCAATCATGGTAATGGAATAATAATAATGATGACAGAAACACAGGTAACTATGTGCCTAGCACATGTCCAGCTATTCTCTACACAAATCATATAATCCCTTCAATAACCAATGGTGTGTGTGTGTGTGTGTGTGTGTGTGTGTGTGTGTGTGGTATGGTGTGGTGTGTGTGTGTGTGTGTGTTTAGAATTGAATTTTGAAGTTGAGGAATTTGAGGTACAGAACAGTCACATATCTTGCCTATGGTTAGAAAGCAGGGGTACACCTTTGGTATTTGTATATTCAGAATTCTAAAGATAATATAAATAGATTGACATGATTATGGGCAATTTCTAAATCAAAGTTATTATTGGAGACTGGAAAGTATTGTTGTTGCATAAAAGAACCTTTGAATTTTAAGTAATCAAGTTGGAAATCATCATTGTT